GGGGGGGGGAGCAGTGGAGCCATTGTCTGATGGCCTGCCTGGACGTCAAATCCGTACACGGGAGACGAGGAGCGACGCGACGGAGCGAGGAGAGAGCAAGCCAGCGCTTGAGATGCACACCTGTGTCTGCGACGGGGAGGCTTTCAGTGCTGAGTGCGGCGGGAAGCGGAGCATGGTGTGTTGCACCAACAACTGGGACGTTGGGAACAACATCGCCGCCCACGACCGCGCTCGGGCCACCCTCCACCACTCCCCAGATGGCTCCCACCCCGACCTCCTCGGCTTCCTTCACGACTCACTGTGGACGCAGCAGGCGAGAAGAGCTCGCGGCGCGGTGATTCTGGCGTTAGCGGCGTACATGGACAACGACACCTTCACTCTCAAAGGCATCGCCGCAACTCACCAATGCCCCCCATCGTGCCTTTGACGGCGGGGAGGGGTGCGCGGCGGAACATCGCGCTGCTCGTAGCCGAGACGGGCGTGCGCGGCTCGTCGGTGCTGGAGCGGTCGTCGCGCATGGTGATGGAGTAGATGATGTCGAGATGGAACAGTTGTGGAAGTGGAGGTTTGTTTTTAACACGTGAGCGCTAAAACCGCCTAATTGAGCGCGCGACGTCATTCGAGGCGATGTTGCTCCCACGACTCCAAACTCTACTCCTGTTTCCGTGTGCTCCTGCTCCTGCGCCACGCACAATGGCTGCATTACTGTTGCTCGGCTGAGGCGTGTTACGCATGGCATATATACCCTCGCCACCACTCTCCTTCTGCCACTCATCATGCCCCTCCTCGCCAAGTTGAAGAAGGCGTTCATCCCGCCGGACGCGAAGGCGCAGTACGCGCCGCCACCGGGCGTCCGTCGCACGCACGTATGGATGGATGTGTCGATCGGCGACGCGCCCGTCGGCCGCATCGAGATGGGTGCGTCTTTTCTCTTCAAGTCTTACACCAGAACTCTTCGACGAGGTCGTGCCGCGAACGGCGGCCAACTTCCGCGCGCTGTGCGACGGCCGCGGCCAGCACGGATACAAGGGCTCGACTTTCCACCGGATGTGCGTGCGTTGCGGACGAGCTGACACCAGCGTGCCCGGCTTCATGGTGCAGGGCGGGGACATAGTGCACGGCGACGGGACGGGCGTGTACTCGATCTACGGGGGCGCGTTCCCCGACGAGAACTTTAAGATGCGGCACGCGATCCCCGGCGTGCTGAGCATGGCCAACTCGGGGCCCGGCACGAACGGGTGCCAGTTCTTCATTACGGTTGCGCCGACCGAGTTCCTCGATGGCAAGCATGTGGTTTTTGGGCGTGTGGTTTCGGGCATGGACGTCGTCAAGGTCGTCGAGCACACGCCAACGGGCGCCAGCGACCGTCCGGTGCAGACGGTGCGCATCGACGCGTGTGGCGTGTCTAGCGGCACGACGACGGCGTCGACGGGCGCTGCGGCAACCGCGGGCGCGGCTGGAGTGGCGGGCGCTGCGGGCGTGGCTGGAGTGGTAGGCGCGAGCGCGGCCGGAGCAGCCACTCGCCCCCCCGCGCCCGAAGTCGGTGCCGCGCACGCAGCCGACCCCCGCGCCGGACCGCAAGACGAGCTAGTGGCCACCCAAGGCGGCGCAGTAGGCCGGGACCCCGCGACCTCCGCAACGGGAACAAGTGCCGCGCCCGCCTCCCACAATTTCGAGGGCACCGGCCCGCCGGTGGACACGAGCGGCGCGCCTCTGCACGCGGCGGAACCCAGCGCGCTGGTAGCGCAGCGCGCTGATGACGACGAGTTCCACGACGCCCTCGAGCATCCAGAGGAAGGATATGCGTCGGGTACGGCGCTCGACTCGACGCGGTCGCGGCACGACCCGCTCGATCCGCGCTCGGGGGGCGGGTACGCCACCGCTGACCCGAGGTACGCGGGCGGCGGCGCGGTGCAGCCCTCGGCGTCGCGTACTAGCGCGTTCGCGTCCGCTGCGGTCGACTTTGCCGCGCCTAATCTTAGGGATAATGTCCAGGGGGATGTGATGGCGCGGTCGCCGGAGGCCGCCGCGCCAATCCACGCCGACCACGCCGACCATCCCGGCCATGCCGGCCACACCGGCCACGCCAGCCATGGAGGCGGGTTCAAGGCGCTGTACCGCCGCCTCTCGCGCAGCCATGACCAGCACCCTGCCCAGGTCCAGCCCAGCACTCTTGAGCAGGCGATGCCGCCTCAGGACGTCTCTGGTGCCGCGATCGGCGGCACACCAGCGTCGCCCAGTTCTCGCCCTCCAGCTCTTGCTAGCGCTGTCCACGACTTTGCAGGTACTCACCCCGTTGACCATCGCCGCGAGGTCGACGGCCAGCTCGCCACGTCGCCACATGGCCGGCGCATGTAATAAGACGCGTCGCCAATAACCCTGTTATTAGAAACCCTTCACGAAGCATGTCAAGTGTGTCCTGCTGCAACAAAGATCCATCAAATACTGTAGAACGGTATACACACAGCTAGCGCACAGCACCAGTTAGTGCCCTATTAGAGCATGAAGGCGCCGGCAGCGAGGCCGACCATGGCCGTGCCGATCACAGCGAGACCGTTGGCTGGAAGCAGAGACACGGCATTGGCCTTGAGCGACGTCACAGACATCTGGGTGCCGCCAGCACCAGAGCCCGACGCAGACGCAGCACCGTCTGATCCAACATTAGGCGAGGGGGTCACCACGGTGGTGGGCTCAGGGATGCCGTTCATCCGCGCGGCGGCCACGAAAGGCGCATTGCCGTTTGAGTCATAGTAGTCGAGCAGGATGACGTTGGGGTTGCGACCGTAAAGCATGTTGCAGTTGCTAACGTGGAAACCGATAGAGCCGGCACCATCGGCGGCGTTCGTCTCGTTCAGCTTGTCCTTGTTGGGCACAAGGACGGTCTGGCCAAAGATCTGGTACTCCTTGTCAAGGAAGTGGTTGATCATGTACATCATCGAGTTGGACTGGCCGTTCGAACGGTCAACCGCGCACGCCCACTGCTGGTCAACAGCATCTGCCGTTAGCGAAATCCTACACACGCGGAGCGGCTACTGAATGGCTACTCACTGTACTTGTCCTCCCACATGTTGGTGAACTCGTCAATGATCCAGGGCACAGCAGCAAAGTCGGCGCTGTTGTCGAGGAACACGACAAGGCGCTTGCCAGAGTCGATGAGCGAGCCGAGAGTGGGCCACTGGTCAACGCTGGTAGCCGCCTGCGTGGGGGCGTATGCGAGAGTGTCAAGGCCGGCGGCCTGGAAGATGGCCTGGAACTCGGCAGGCTTGTGGTTGTCGATGTTAACGATAACCATGGTGACGACTGCGTGTCAGCCTTTGCGGACCAAGCGTCGACCCACCATCATTGGGGTTCCTGTTCATCCACGCAGCGACCTTTGAGAGGTAGTCCTGCAGGGTGCCGCCGTCCTTGAGAGCCTACGTCGTCAGATGGTCTGCACGCCAATGGCGGATTGTGAGTCCACTTACACAAGATGAGTGGCACACATTGATAGTGCTGCCGCTGGTGTGGGTCTGGACCTGAAGAGCGCGCACACCGTCGTTCTAGGCATTAGCGTTGTCTTTGACTTGTGACGCTTGATCTCGTTCTTCCATGTCTCACGCGCCCTCCGAGTCTTTCTGGCCACGGGGAGGTAGCCTTGTCCGTTCCTGTCCGCTGGTCGCGGAACGGACACAGGAATGCTGGGTACATCGCACGACTCTTTCCTTCCCCCCGCCCAAACGTCCAGTCACCCCAGAATCTCCACTCACCAGCTGGGCGGTCACATCCTTGGCCTGGTTGTCGGCCGCGTTGACGCCCACAGCGTACGAGTTGTGGGTGCCAATGTAAGTGACGTTGGAGTAGAGTCGCTGGCAGAGCGCGTCGTTGCCGTTGCAGTTGGAGGCGGCCAATGCCGTGGACGCGAGGGCCGCCGCGGCGAATAGTGTGGATGCGAGACGCATGACTTAGAGATGAGTAGATGGGGTGCGTGTGCTGAATGTGGGTAGTAGATGCTACAGTTATACAGACGTCGATGGTCGCGACTTGTGCTGTGCTTTGAGCAAAAGAGCGAGAGCGAAGAGAGCGCTAGAGGGAGCCTTGTGCAGAATGAGCGAACGTGCAAAGAGCGAGTGGATTGTTGTAAAGAGGGTCAAGTCGGAGGAAGGTGTTTGTGCGTTTCGGGGCTGTGCGGATGCGCAGGTTGGAAGCGGTTGCGAGATGCGAGGATGGATCCGGATGCGAGTTTGCAAGAATGCACGGCGTACAAAGCTGCTTCGATGGGCCGAGGGACGCACGCGAGGGGTCGCGAGGGGAGCGCTCTAGTTGAAGCCGGACGGCGGAATGCGGTGAGGGGATGCGATGAAGAAGACGACGGGAATCGTTAAGTCAACCGCCCACGCAACAAGGAATGCGCTGCCTTGGGAGATGGCGATGAATGTGAGGCGATGAGGGGAGAGTTTGGAGGAGTTGAAGAGACGGAGTAGAGGATGAGGAGGAGGATGGGGATGAGGAGGACGAGGAGGAGGATGACGAGGACGAGCTGTGGGACGAGGGAAGCCAGACAGGATGGATGCCCGATGCGCAGCAGGCAGAGACGCGAGGCGCGTGAGGGCCAAGAGGGCCCAACCCACCCGGAATCGAATCCGGCAATCCCAGCCCTCGCCGCAGCAGCATCAGGGGACGTGACTGACTCTCCCACCCTGGGTCCGACCCGCGACCGGGCCGCTCAAGCATCCGGGGCTTTGAGCGAGCGGGCTCAGCGAGCTCATGCCCCTCTTTCTCGACCCATCGTTCAGGCGTAACCAGGCGACTATGCAGTAGCCCGCGCAGCCCGTGACACCATACATCATACAACGCCGAGCCCGCGTTTCCGCATGATCCTCTGCACGAACCTGCAAACAGCAAACATGCTGGGAGGGAGAGGTGCCGTGACACTTGTTCGGGAGCCGCGGAGACGCAGTCACGGCGCGCGCGCAGCTTGATTGCGTCCCCTTCCCCCTTTGACCCGTAGCCCCCTCGAAACTTTCACTCCCTGCTGGGCTGCTGGGCTGCTGGGCTGTTAGCCAGGGCACTATATCCTATTTGCGAATTGCTTACCATTCATTAGCTCGCTTGCTAAATTGTTTATCCCCTAATTGATGGTAATGCGCGTTGTCTGGGCGCCGAGCCGGGCACGTCTCGGATACCCTGACAGCCATTTGCCACCCAAGGCGGTGTCCGGGAGCAAAAACTGTATCAGACCCACGTCATTAAACTGTCTGGACGGCACGTGACACTTGGTTGATCGTTTGTTTGCTGTGGCGTGGCGGAAGTGGCGGAGAAATGACGTCTGTGCACGTGGTAGACCCCTCTTCCCCAGAGAATGCATCGGCCCTTTGCTCGACTGCACGACAAAACGCTGTTGGACAGCTGCTACTCTTGTCCGAAGAAGCGCAGCGGTGCAGAGGGCGGAGAGCAGAGAGGGGTCAAATCGTCTGGCAGCTGGCAGGAGGAGGGAGCCAGCCGACGTGGAGTGGGGCCTGGGGCCTGGACATCGAATGACGATCTTCAGGCCGTCCACAACCACCCAAGATTGTCCGATCGGGATGCTTTGCATTGCTTTGCCTGGGCGGGAGCTGGGCGTATGGGACATGAGCACGAGCAGGAGATTACATGAGCACACGTTGGCACATGCAGAGGCACAGGCATCGCAACCCGATGACACGTTCGTGAGGAAGGAAAGAGGTGCATTGCTGGAATAGGCCACGGGCCATGCACCGCCAGATTCGACAAAGAGCAATACTATATTCGAAAGCAGATCGTATTAATCGTATTGGGTGTGATCATCAGATCATCAATCAACCCATCAACCCCACCGTTCCAGCACCTCCACCGTACTCGCTCCACCCTCCAAAGCCCAAAACGCGCCCAGCAGCCAGCAGCGTGACCCCCCCCCCCACGTCCCCACCCAGCCACCACTTATTGTCAACAACATCCGCAACAACATCTACCAACAACCCACTCCTCCTCATCTCTCGCTCACACGCTTCTTCCAGCTCGCGCCGCCTCCTCATCCCCGCTTGTCCCATCCTCCCCCCCTTCTTCTCACTCATAGGGCACCAGCTCGCACTCCGAGCTGGTTGCCTTCGCCACCCAACTCTTACACAACCACCCATCCCAACCTTCCACGCCACCCTCCGCCGCCACCATGCCGGCCACACTCTCCCCTTTTCGCTACATACAGGTGGCCCGCTACCTCATGCAGTGGTGGCTAGACACGGCCCCCGGACTCGCTGCACGCCGAAAGGCTGCACAAGAACGGGCTACAAGGCTCATTTATGCCCCCAAGATGCGTGGGCGCGCCATGGCTGCCGCCGCGGCCACAGCCCAGGTGTCCGAGGACGACGAGACACCTCGAGCGCGTCGCGCCGCCCGTCACCTCGGTGTCGACATTGTCGACAAGCCAGCAGCAGCGCCGGACGACCCCGGAGTGCTTTTGCCACGCCCTGACGCCCACCCCGACCTCCACTTCCCCAGAGAGAACACCGAGATCTACCGCCTCATGAACGACGACCGAGCGTACATCGAAGGCTCAATGAAGGCACCCCGCGAGATAATCGTCTTATGTCACGGTGAGTCCGAGTTGCGGGGAGCTGGGGAAAGGCCCCGGCGACATGGACGTGCCATGGAGTTACCCATCCTCGAAACACGCCCCGAGCGCGGCTAATCCCATGCAGGTCTCTATGGATTCTCCACGGCCACCCCAATCCCACTGTTCCCTTCGCTCAAGCTACACTACTGGGCATCCGTACTCGAGGTCCTCCGTGACCGTATGGGTGCCAAGGTCGTCGTCGTTGGAGTTAAGGGGTACGTGTTTTTCGGACTTTTGAGCACATGTTCCGTGCCTGGTTCGTGGTGCTGACATGATTTCAGAACGGGATCGATCCAAGAACGTGCGGAACAGATGCACAAGTTTCTCAAGAATTATCTCCCAAGAGGTGTCGGTGTCAACTTTGTTGCCCACTCAATGGGGGGTCTTGATTGCCGGCACCTGATTTCTTCGATCCAGCCGACGGAATACAAGCCATTGAGTCTGACGACGATCGCTACCCCTCACCATGGATCACCCTTTATGGACTGGTGCGCTGCCAACATTGGCGTCGGATCGCAGGAGCTCAAGGATCACATTGCCGCAAACTTGCCCTTCACGATGAAGACGCCGCTGCTCTCGATCCCCGGCAAGCCCTCACCGAAGGACACGTTTGGCATATTCACCTCGGCTCTGACCAACTATCTTCTAAACATCTTTGATTCGCCAGCCTATTACAATCTCCGGACCGACTACCTCCGAGACCACTTCAATCCCGCCACCCCCGACGACCCAAATGTCAAGTACTACTCGGTCGCGGGTCGCATTGCCAAGATGTCGGTTCTACACCCATTGTGGTTCCCAAAGCTTGTGCTTGACAGTGCGGCTGAGAAGGGATACCCCGAGGGCGAGACGCCCAAGGGGGAGGCATATGAGGGCAATGACGGCCTCGTTTCGGTCGCTTCGTCCAAGTGGGGCGAGTTCCTCGGCGTCGTGGACGGCTGCCACCACTGGGACCTGCGTGGTGAAGGCGGGTTGTGGCCTGCCACCAACTCGCTCAAGCTGTCGACAGAGAGCAACACGGTCCTAGGCCTTGGCACCGACATTGATGAGAGAACCAACTACCAGTCCTCTGACGACAAGGGGCCCGGCGCCAAGCCCGACGAGCAGTTGAATCGGGCGCAGCATGACCGTGATCTCGCAGCAGCACGTCTCATGTCTCCAGGCAAGACGCCAGACCAGGCCAAGTCCAGCTCAAACGGGTGGGATATGGCGATGGTGGGCCAGCTTGTCGACTGGGTTGGCGACCTCTTCCCTGGTGACAAGAAGGACGCTGAGCGGACGTCACAGTTTGCGGACGCTCAGAAGGAGATGGACGCTCGCAAGGAGTCGCAAGCAGAGCGCCAGAGGACAGTTGTGCGGGATAAATTTGATCTCGCGCGTTTCTACGGCGGGCTGATGTTGCGGTTGCGAGAGGAGGGGTTGTAATGGGTCTGTTGGTCGGGCACATCCGACAACAGCGGTAGAGAAGTATTAAATACATTAGCATTAGTAGGAGTTGTCATTCAACGGGCACATGAGATAGCATAGCATAGCATAGCATTGAATGGTGGGGTCTGACAGAGGTGAGCGAACACGCATCACTGGCATCTGATCATAGAACGGTGACGCTGCCGAGGGAGTGATCGGTCCCGGAACCACGACGGAGTGATTCTCCCACGGTGGTCATCACAGCATGCCAAGGACGTCATCGGCCGGAGTTGCGCGTTGTGCCAAGTCGTATGGTGGAGTCATGGGCGTGGGGTGGAGGAAGGTTGCCGGTGAGCGCATCAGCGCACCGACATCCGACGCGACCACCATCCCATCTAGCCGTTGACTCTTCCCCTTCCGCTTTCTTGCCACCCATCACTACTCTTCTAGTCTATCCACCGACCACTCGGCAGCCTCCTCTCAAACATGCCAGCCGACCCGCCCCGCGGGCCAGGCATCTGCGCGATGCGCGGCTCATGTGGCCGCGCGTCCATGTTCGGCGCCGAGCTTCCCTGTCCTGATTCGGACCCGGCAACCAAGGCAAGCTGCGCTGATGGACGCCGCTAATTCCAGACGGACGACAAGGTCCGCGACCTCCTCGCGACCGTGTGCGGGAGCGCGTACGAAATCCCCGACAGCGTGTGCTGCACCGCGGACCAAGTCAAGATGCTCGGCGACCAGCTTGGGCAGGCGGCGCCGCTGATCGCGGCATGTCCCGCGTGCATCAACAACTTCCGTGCATTCTACTGCGACTTCACCTGCTCCCCGGATCAGAGCACGTTCATGGCCGTGACCAAGACGCAGCGGACGACGACTGGCCAGAAGGCCGTCAAGGAAGTCGAGTATGCCGTGTCGGATGAGTTTGCGCAGGGCTTCTTTGACAGCTGCAAGAGTGTCCAGTTTGGCGCGACGAACGGGTTCGCGATGGACCTCATCGGTGGCGGCGCGACCACCGCCCACGACTTTCTCGCGTACATGGGCAGCGTGCGGCCGGGTCTCGGCTCCCCGTTCCAGATCGACTTTCCTAGCGGAAAGAACTACTCGCGCACACCGTTGTCATGCGCCGACAGCGGCGTCGAGTCGCGCTGCGCATGCGCAGACTGTCCCTCAGTTTGCCCCTCGCTCCCGTATGTCCCGCCACCCGACGAGCCGGGCTGCAAGGTTGGCAAGGTGTCGTGCCTCACCTTCTTCCTTCTTCTCGTGTACGGCATCCTCCTCGCTGTCGGCCTTACATACTATGCCGCTCGTACCGCTCTCCGCGCCAGGCGGCGACAGTATGAGCGCATGGCGCTCACTGACCCTCCCCTCTCGCCCACCACGCCTGGGCTTGAAGGCCTAGTCGGCCGGGGATCCAGCGGCGCAGACACTGACTCGGGACCGAGCGGCAGCATTCACTTCCGACTGGGGCGCGGTGCGTCTCTTCTGGACCCCATGGAACATCTCCAGCCCAAGCAGAACCAGATCAATGCCGCCCTCCGCCGCTTCTTCTACCGCCTGGGCCTCTTCTGTGCCACGCACCCTTTCATGACTTTCGGGTTAGCGGCACTTGTCATCGGCCTCCTGAATGCTGGCTGGGCACGCTTCGCCGTCGAGACCGATCCCGTCCGCCTGTGGGTTGCGCCAAGCAGCGAAGCAGCCGCACAGAAGGCCTTCTTCGATGAGTACTTTGGCCCCTTCTACCGCTCCGAGCAGTTCTTCATCACTGCAACGGACGGCGGCTCTCCGCTTTCGTACGAGACGCTCGAGTGGTGGCTTGACGCCGAAGCCCAGATCAAGAAACTTGCCTCGCCGTCTGGGACGACGCTCAAGGACGTGTGCTTCGCTCCTTCAGGCAGGGGCACGCCGTGCGTCGTGCAATCCGTCAGCGCGTGGCTTGGCGACGACCTTGAAGAGTGGGGAGATGGATGGGCCAAGCGCATCACCGATTGTGCGAAGCGCCCTGGCGAGTGTCTTCCAGACTTTGGTCAGCCCATCGACCCCAAGCTGGTGCTCGGCGGCGCCAAGGGCAAGTGGCTCGACGCCAAGGCGCTCGTAGTCACCTACGTGGTGAACAATTACGAGGAGGACGACGAGCGCCTCCCCGCGACGGAGGAGTGGGAGCGCACCCTCGAGTCGTTCCTCGCCGGTCTTGAGCGCCCCGATGGCATCAAGCTGTCCTTCTCCACCGGCGTGTCCCTTGAGGAGCAGCTCAACAAGAGTACCAACACCGATGTCAAGATCGTCGTCCTGTCCTACCTCGTCATGTTCCTGTACGTCTCCCTGTCGCTTGGCGGTGGGCGCGTACCGAAGCGCGAGATCGGGCGCATGTTCACACGTCTCGGTGCCGAGATCCACAAGCTCGCCTACCGCCTTGGGATCGCCCGCACGTTGCCAGATCACGAGGCGATGGAGCCGTCGCTCAGCACCGTCCCGACGCTTTTGCTCGTCAACTCCAAGTTCACACTTGGGTTGTTTGGCATCGCTATCGTGCTCATCGCCGTGAGCACATCCGTTGGCCTGTTCTCCCTCCTCGGTGTGCGCGTCACCCTCATCATCGCCGAAGTCATTCCGTTCCTCGTGCTGGCTGTTGGGGTGGACAACGTTTTCATCCTTGTACACGAGCTCGACCGCCAGAACGCACTGCACGCTGCACCTGACGCGCCCGCTAGACCTGCCGACAGCGACAGCGACGACGAGATCGAGTTTGGGAGACCGCCTGCTGCCGGGTTGAGCGCCGAGGAGCGTGTCGCACGTGCAGTCGCCCGCATGGGCCCGTCTATTCTGCTGTCCAGCACCACCGAAGTAGTGGCCTTTGCGCTTGGCGCACTCGTGCCCATGCCCGCCGTCCGCAACTTTGCCGTCTACGCGGCGGGCAGTGTGCTTATCGGCGCGCTACTCCAGGTTACGGTCTTTGTGAGCGCAATGGTTCTCGACCTCAAGCGCTCAGAGGCAGGCCGTATGGATATCTTCCCGTGCATCCCGTTGCGCGGCAAGATCAGGCTCGACGAGGGCGCTGCCTCCGAAGGCGTAATCCACCAATTTATTAGACGAGTTTACGCACCCACTCTCCTACGCCCCGAGGTCAAGCACGGCGTGCTCGCCGCTTTCGGAGCCCTCCTCCTCGTCTCGGTGATCGGCATCCAACGCATCAGCCTGGGCCTAGACCAGCGGCTTGCCCTCCCACCCGACTCGTACCTCGTGCCTTACTTCAACGACCTCGACGCATACCTCGACGTCGGGCCGCCCGTGTACTTTGTAGTGCGCGGTGGCGACACGGCGGAGCGTGAGGGTCAGCGGGAGCTCTGCGGCCGCTTCACGACCTGCATGGAGCTCAGCGTTGCGAACACGCTCGAGGCTGAGCGTAAGCGCCCCGACAGCAGCTTCCTTGCCGCGCCGCCCGCCGCATGGATCGATGACTTCTTGCAGTGGACGAACCCAGCATTTGAGAGCTGCTGCCGTGTCCGCAAGGCTGATCACTCCGTGTTTTGCCGGCCACGCGACGCCGACCGCCTTTGCCAGCCTTGCTTCGCTGGCCGCGAGTGGGACAGCACCATGGCTGGGTTACCGACAGGCGATGAGTTCGCGCGCCTTCTCGATCAGTGGTTGGCCTCGCCTGCCGATGACTCTTGTCCCTTGGGTGGTTTGCAGGGCTACTCGGCCGCAGTCACGCGCGACGAGCACGGCACACCCAACGCATCCCACTTCCGCACCTTCCACACTCCACTCCGCACCCAGGGCGACTTTATCAATGCGCTCGCGGCTGCCCGCCGCATCGCTGGCGACATCTCGCAGCGCACCGGCCTCGACGTATTCCCCTACTCGCTCTTCTACGTCTTCTTCGACCAATACGCATACATTCGCGGCATGACCGTGCAGGTGCTTGCGCTAGGCGCGGGCGCCGTGCTGGCGATCACGAGCGTGCTCCTCGGCTCGTGGCGCACCGGCCTCGTCGTGACGGGCACGTGCGTCCTCGCAGTCCTGAATGTCATGGGCGTCATGGGCTTTTGGCACATCTCTCTCAATGCCATCTCCCTCGTGAACCTGGTCATCTCGCTCGGCATCGCGGTCGAGTTCTGCTCGCACCTCGCGCGCGCCTTCATGGGCGCCGGCGGGCTGCTGTACGATGAGAAGCGCGCCGAGCGCGACGAGCGCGTCTACACGGCGCTCATCGACGTCGGGCCCAGCATCTTCAGCGGCATCACGCTCACCAAGCTCGCCGGCATCTCGGTGCTCGCGCTCACGCGCTCCAAGCTCCTCGAGACATACTACTTCCGCATGTGGCTCGCACTTATTCTCGCCGGCGCGCTGCACGGCCTCGTCCTCCTCCCCGTGCTCCTCACGTACTTCGGTGGTGCAGGGTACGCGCTGGAGGATACCGACGAGGACTGGGTCACGAGTCAGATGAGACGCCCCATGAACTACGAGCGCGCGCCGTTCGATGACGACGACGTCCTGTCCGAATAGGTAGATGTAGAGCTAGTATGCATGCCGTCTTGACTGAGTGCTTGTGTTTCTTGTCGTCCGTTGGAAACATATTGCATATGGATCGGAAGTGGGGCAGGAGACACCTGGACTTCAGCGGCCTCACCTTCTCCGTGTAGTGCGATGGCCGGAAAGGCGCGTGCAGACGCCAGGCGTCACAGCTGTGGTCCAAAGTAGATCTGTCGCAGATCTCCATCTTGCTTCTCTCACGACGTCATGTCAATGTCATGCGAGAAATCCGATGCTTAAAGGTCGAGCGGGCAGTCTCGCCTGCACGACCCCCTCGACGTTGCCCCTTCTTTCGCCACTTGGCCGTCTCAGCGTGAGTTACCCCCTCTCCCATGCCCGGCGCTTATGCTGCACCGATGCATTGTTACAGCGTACAGGATACTAGGGGCCGCAGCCCATGCAAATGGCGGACGCGATGCGTCCATTTCTAAATCGATGTTGGTCTCTCAATCCTCGCACAGCCTCACCATCCTCAATGACCAGTCGAAACACACTCCTTTCACCAACACGCCAGTAGAAAGCCGGCTGAGGGATTCCGCACGGGTCCTCTCAGCGCCCTGCCGCGGCACATCAATACGTGTGGCTTACTCGCGCTTGCTCCAGCTCGGGCTCGACGCGTAGCCTCCGCGGCTCGAGCCCCAGCCCGAGCGACCGTTCGGGCGACCCGGCGGGCCACCTGCTGCGCCTCCCGGAGAGGTAGGGGAGTACTGCGGCGACGTCGGTGAGTATGCCGGCGAGGCTGGGGAGTACTGCGGCGACGTGGGGCTGTACGCCGGCGAGGCTGGGCTGTACGTCGGGGACGTGGGGGAGAACTGTGGGGAAGTCGGCGAGTACTTCGGCGATGTCGCCGAGAAGGGCTGCGGGCTCGTGGGCGAGTATGCGGGCGACGTGGGAGAGAAGGCTGGCGAGGCCGGGGAGTACGTTGGCGACGTGGGCGAGTAGCGAGGGGATGTCGCGTTGCCCATCGGCGAGGTGGGGCTGTATGCCGGCGAAGCCGGGGAGTAGGAAGTCGCGCCCCCGCCGTACGCTGGAGAAGCAGGTGAGAACGTTGGGGATGAAGGGGAGAACGTCGGCGACGAAGGAGAGAATGATGGCGACGTCGGCGAGTACTGCGGCGACGAGGGCGAGTACATCGGGCTCGTAGCGCCGTAGCCGCCAGCTCCGCGCGGCACCCATGGAGACGTCGCGCCGCCCGCGAACGGCGAGGTCGGAGAGTACGACGGGCTGGTGACGGCGAATGGCGAGGTGGGCGACCACCCGGGCATGGGCGACGTCGGCGCGTACGGCGACATGCCTGCCATGGGAGACATGCCGTAGCCCATTGCGTAGCCACCACCTTCGTCGTTGTTGCTCTTTTGGATGGGGGAGAACGCCGCAGCGCCCACCGCACCACCGCCGTTCCACATGGGAGAGAAGTTGTCGTAAGGCGTCATGTTGCCTCCTGGGGTCATGCCGCCCATGTTGCTCGCAAGCATCATGTTCTGGACCGGCAGACGGTGATCGACGATCACGTCCTTCAACATGCCCAAGTCGAGCGACACATCAAACGCGCCAGTGCCCATGGGCGCCATCTGGCCGAGCAGGACATTCTCGGCTACCCCGCGGCAGTCGTCGACGTCGCCCACGGCGGCGGCCTCGAGCAGAATCTCAACAGTCTCCTCGAATGAGCAGCGCGAGAGCGCACCCGCATCGGTACGATTGATACCGTGACGAGTGATAGACATGAGATTACCCTTGTTGCACATCAGGTCGCAGAGAAGCGCTGTGTGGCGGTAGTTGACGTACGAACCAGCCTTGTCGAGCACGTTCAGAATCTCGGCGTACAGGCCATTGCGACCAGCCTCAATGCCGAGCTTCTCCCAAACCTCGTAGACGTGGTTCGAGTACGTACGATTAGCGTCGACACCCGGCACGGCCATAACCTGTAGAAGGTTGATGCCCTCCGTCTCAATGAACCACTCCTCCTTGATCGCGAACTCGCCCTTCTCGTTGATGATGTTCTTCTTGCCTTTGGACAGGAACACACGACGAATGCCTGGGATGCCTCCCAGCTCGACCTGGTCAAGCAGCGTGCCCTCGATACGCTTGAGGAACATATCCTCGTCGCCCAACAAATCGTCCTCCTCTTTGTTGTTGTTGACAATACGAATGCGGATGACAAGCTTCTCGTTGTTGTCGTCCGAGTGTAGCACAAACACATCGCTGCCAACAGTGTCCATGATAGACGACACGATCCCCTCCATCGTCCAGTTGCCGTTCTTGACCTTGGCACGGTCGAGCTCAAGACGCAGGAGCCATGGCGAGTGGTTCTGGGGATTGACCTCCTCGTCAGGAATTGCGAACCAAGCGTCGACGAAATCCTTGTCCTCTTCAATCGCCGTCGACTCCACATCTGGGTCATAGAAGATCTCGACCGATGCCGTGACGTCGCGGAGACGTGTGTGCACGAGCTGACTGGAGATCTGGTGCGCCGACTTCTCGTCGCGGCTGTACTCCTCGTCAAGGTAGACGTTGAGGCCGGGTGTGCGGATGTTAACGGCGACGTTGATGACCTCCTTGAGACGAGGGACACCACCCGTTGCACTCTTACTGGACACACCAGCGTAATGGAAGGTGTTGAGGGTCATCTGCGTAGCCGGCTCACCAATCGACTGAGCTGCAAGCGTGCCAACCATTTCGGCCGCATTGATGAGCGACTTGTTAAAGTTGACCTCGACCTCTCCCACGACCCAGTCGAACGCCGCACGAGTGAGATGATACTCCTCAAGCACGCGCTTGGTGGACAGATATGAGCGCAAGAGGGCGAACAGCAATCTGGTCGAGTTTCGCTGCGCCTCAAGCGAAATGGGGTCTGTGCCACGGACGACGATGAGGTTATCCAAAAGTGCCTGTCGCCGTTCGTTGATGTAAACGGGATCCAGGTCACTAGGGGCGCGAGGGTCGATGTTGAACTGCTGCTGCGCGTTCAGGATGATACGCGCAATCTTGACCGGTAAAGGCTTCTTAGCGTCGCCATTGGTGATGACCTCCGTGCGCAGGAACTGGCGGTCGGCCAAGATTGTGTGGTACTCCTGATCCAGAACGTCTTGCAGCCCAATCGATGACGAGTCGATACCCGCCTGCAGCGTCTTGGGCTTGAAGCCCAGCTTGCCGCCACTGAGCACGTCAAGCTTGTACTTCCGGTCAAATGCCTCATCACTAAGGCGAACAATGTCCAGGGACTGATTCTCCACCATGGAACCGTCCATGCCATCCTCTCCGTAGAGGAATTGGATAATGTCGCCGGAGGAGTTGCGGACAGTGCCGTCGTACCCAACCTTCAGATCCTCCATGGCCTTGACCAGGCGGCGCTGGATGTAACCGGTCTCAGCGGTCTTGACGGCCGTGTCGATCAAACCTTCACGACCACCCATGGCGTGGAAGAAGAACTCTTGGGGCGTCAGGCCACGGAGGTACGAGTTCTCGACGAAGCCACGCGACTCTGGCCCGTAATCGTCCTTGGAAAAATGCGGCAATGTGCGGTGGCGGAAGCCGAATGGAATACGCTTGCCTTCCACAATTTGTTGTCCTACACAGGCGGACATTTGCGAGATGTTGATGAATGAACCCTTGGATCCAGACACGACCATCTGCTTCACATTATTGTCCTCCTTGATGTTGCTCTGCGCCGATTTACCGGCCCAGTCACGAGCCTTGTTGAGCTCGTTGGAAACCTCCGCCTCCAGCGTTTCACGAATCGTCATACCGGGCTTGGGCTTCATGTCGTTGGCCTCAGCGCGAGCGATGAATCCTTGCACAGTGTCCTTTGCCTCAACGAGACGGCCGTTAATGCCAGCCATGGTTGCGCGGTCGGCAATTGTGTCACCAATACCGATGGAGAAACCATTGTGCAGGAGCCAGTAATTGATCATCATCTGGACCGCTGAAAAGAAGTCGCGGGCCGCAACATGACCATGCTCGCGGAAGATGACGTGGACTAAACCGTCCGCGGATGCGCCGGCCATGTTCTTGATGATCGCCCCGTAAATTAGCTCGCCGTCGTCGACAAGAACGTTTTCGTCGGTGACATCGATCTCGCTCGGCTTCTCGCTGTTCTTCTTCTCAATATTGACGCCCTTAGGAATGCACATTGAGACGAGCTGCTTGCCAGACCACATGGGCTTGGGCTTGATGATGGCCGGAGGGGGGATTGTGCCATCCCAGCCGGGCAGCCACAAGAGGATATTCTGGACGAGCGCCCAATCGCAGAAATTGTCGCGCAAAGTGAACTTGCGGATACCACAAAGCGTGTCCTGGACGATGCCCATGACCGGCTTGTTGGCCTGCGGCGAGATGATTTGACGCGGAACCCACGCAATTTGGCTCAACTCGGCACGCGTCTCCTCTGACTGAGGGACATGCAAGTTCATCTCGTCACCGTCGAAGTCGGCGTTATAAGGCGACGTCACCGAGAGGTTGAGACGGAAAGTCGAATAGTTCATTACGCGCACGCGGTGGCACATCATGGACATCTTGTGAAGCGACGGTTGACGGTTGAAGAGCACGAAGTCGCCCGTCTTCAGATGACGCTCAACGATCCAGCCGAACTGCAAACTGATCGGCTCGCCAGACTTGCGGTACTTCAAGTCAACACGTTCACCGGTGTCCTTGACATAGTAGCGCGCGCCGGGGTACGTCGCTGGACCGTTGTTGATCAGACCCTGAAGCTGCACGATGTTGTATGGCGTGACGCGTTCGGGATATGTCAAGGTCATAGCGATGGAGCGCGGTACACCGACCTCGTCCAACTGAATGTTGGGGTCACCAGTAATAACTGTACGCGCGGAGAAGTCGACGCGCTTGCCCATGAGGTTGCCGCGGAGACGACCCTCCTTGCCCTTGAGTCGAGCGCGGATGGCCTTGACAGGACGGCCCGACTTCTGCAGTGCCTGCGGGATGCCTGCGATGTCGTTATCCATGTACGTTGCAACGTGGAACTGGAGGAGATCGAAGTGCTCGTTGACGACACTCGGTGGAACACCTTCCGACTCGAGCTTGCGTACGTTGGCGCTGGCCTTGAGAATCTCGCCGAGTTTATATGTCAGATCATCCTCGCTGCGCATAGCCCCTCCGTCCACGGAAATGGAGGGGCGCACGGCCGCGGGAGGTACAGGGAGGACCGTGAGGATCATCCAGTCGGGGCGCGCGTACTCTGCGTTGAGCCCCATGATGTTGAGATCCTCATCGGGAATCTTCTTTAGAATATTGAGGCACTCAGCAGCTGAAATATTGCGGCGTTCGGGTTCTGCGCCAGCCTCGTCTTTGTCTTTATTAGGCTTGAATACACCGATAAGCTTCAGGCCTTCCTTGCGATACTGCGGTTGGTCGAAGCCGCATCCACCGTGGCCCTTTGGCTTGGCGGCGCGGTTCTCGTCCATGTAGACGTCCTCGTTGGTCGCATCGCCATTCTCCTCACTCAGATCGTCGGCCTCACATACTCCTTTCGGGCGAGCAATCTGCCAGATGGCTTTGAGGCGGTGCTGGGGCTTGATGCGCTTCGTCACTGTATAAACCTGTGGGTCGCGCTGTGATCCGTTAGTCACCGCCTTATCGCCCTGTTCGCCATTTTATCACTCACGAGGTCGACTTTGAGTTTGCCGCAGCTGTAGCACACGCACTCCAGTATCTTCTTGACCTTGACAATGAAGCCGGCATGAAACACTGGACGCGCAAGCTCGATATGGCCAAAGTGACCTGGGCACTCGGCCATGCCTTCAAGACATGTCTGGCACTTGAAGTTACGGTCGATAGCTAGTGCATGGTAAGCTCCCGAGCAATGCGTCGGTAGCTTGCCACTTACTTCCCATCTTGGGGTCCATGAGACCGCCAACCTTTTGCCTTCCGTTCTCATCCATGACCTCCGGATGCTCGATCTTGGCAACCGAGTACGCTTTCTACCGTGTCAGAAGACGAACATTACAAAGAGAGAAACTTACAATCTCTTCCGGGCTCATCACACCGAACTGAATCTCCTTGATCTGCTTCACTGGAGCAGACGAATATGCAAACGTGACCGTCATTTTGGAAGAGGAGCTGATGAGTAGATCAAGCCTTTAAGCTGAAGAGTGAAGCAAGCGCGCCCGCGGTCTACTGTTCCCAGCGGGTACGATGACAGGGAAAGCGGTGAGGGATAAAGTGAAGAGCGTGTCGAACACAAGCGTAGGTGGCAAAAAGCTTCGATATCCGCGAAGCAACGCGTAGGCTTTGGTGCGCAATCTGTCGCAAAATGCGCTCGCCTCGAGTTCGCGTGCGAGAAGCCGCGCGGGGGGTATTTTCGTGTGGAGAAAGTCGATATCCACAAAGAGCGAGGCCGAGGAGAGGAGAGGAGGGGAGGTGGATGAAGATGAGGAAGGTCGAAAGAGTGGGGTGGTATGTTTGCCTCCACCACCCTTGTGAGAGGGATACTCGCGCGACGAAGTTGCTGAAAGGCGCAAAGTCGGTTGGCGAGTGATCTTTCGTGCCCTGTGCGCACGTACTCTACTGGATGGAGAGCACTGGCTTGTCGGGAAGAAAGTAAAAGTGTTTGTAGGATAAGAGGGAGATGAGTTGAATGACACAACAAGCGGCGACAGCGAGCGGCGGCTGATGGATTGGACGTGCGCCCCTCAATGCCTCCCTTCACTCACCCCCTCACTTAGGGCCGCAAACTGAACCTCCACCGTACGCACTCCACCCAGCCGCCACCCAGCGCCAGGGACAAGGCGATAACGCCGCTGGGTGGCACTCGGGGGGGTGAGCCGGGTGCAGTGACGTTGCATCCCATGTCGCCAACAGAGCTACGGCTGCTACGGTGGCAACTGGTAACCAGCAGCAGTGCTTGTGTAATCGTTCGTCTCTCTTCTCATTCTCATTCTCTCTCTCTCTCGGCCTCTCGCTCTCGGTCAAGGCTCGTTAACGACACACACACGACATCCCACTGGCACGCATCAGCAGCCACTCACGCCATCACCTCCCCCTCCCGCTCACACCCCTCGCCGGCATCTTCACCACAAGCCTCCTGAGCCAGGCGGCGCCCGTCGCTCGCCCCCCACCAATACCACAGCAGCTTTGTTGAGATCACCATGTCGTGGCTCTGGGGATCCACCACCAACACACAGTATGAGGAGCTGGTCGGTGAGTGGCGAGGTGTAACGCACTGCATACGAGAGCCCGGGCCACAAGAAGCCTCTCCCTCGCCCGGCGCCGCAGGAGCTTTTATTGACGGACAGAGAAAGCATGCTCGCCGCTCAAGCTTGCGTTTCCGCAAGGCGAGGACATTGCACTCAACCTCGAGATCACGGACATGATCAGGTCCAAGGCTGTGCAGCCTAAGCAGGCCATGCAAAGCTTGAAGCGTCGAGTTGCTAGCCCTAACGGTCGCGTGCAGATGTACGCACTCAGTGTGAGTCATCGCAGTCTGAGGACCAATCCTGATAGCAGCTAGTGGATACGTGCATCAAGAATGGCGGCGACCACTTTCTCGCCGAGATTGCGAGCAAAGAATTCATCGACGAGATGACGGGCGTGATCAAGGGCCCATCTACGAACGCCGAGGTGCGACAGATGGCATTGCGCATGTTCCAGAGCTGGGCGCTGGCCTTCGAGAAGAAACGCGAGCTTGCCTTCTTCGTAGATGCCTACCACGACATGAAGAATAGTGGCACCAAGTTTCCCCCTCCTCCGGAACGGACGAACTCGTCTCTTATCGAGACGTCGACGGCACCTGCGTGGGTCGACTCTGAGGTGTGCATGCGCTGTCGCACCGCCTTCACCTTCACCAACCGCAAGCACCACTGCCGAAACTGTGGACTGGTGTTCGACCAGGCATGTTCGAGTCGCACAATGGCGCTTCCTCACTTTGGCATCAAGGAGGAAGTGCGCGTATGCGAGAGCTGCTGGGTCAAGGCTGGTAAAAACAAGCCTGCCCCCGCAGTGCCAGGGCGCACCCCACGGACACGACAGGACTACGATGCAGATCTACAGCGGGCCATTGAGCTCAGTCTTGCACAGGCACAGCCAGGCGCCATGATGGGCTCAGCACCACCTTTGGCACTCAAGACGGGCGCGCTGGATGACGAAGACGAGCAGCTACGGATGGCAATTGAGGCCAGCCTTCGCGAGATGGAGGCGCGTCCCTCTGCCCCTATGGAGGAGGAGCTCAAGCCGTTGCCGACCTTCGATCTCAACCCCCGCGAAACCGAGACAATCTTGACCTTCAGCAACACCCTTGACCAGATGGCGGCGTATGGCGAGCGTGATCTGCGGCGCTTCCCGCACGCACAGCTGTTGCATGATCAGGCGCTCGCGATTGGCGGCAAGCTTCAGCGCAATGCGGAGGAGAAGAGCACGAAGGCTCAGATGCTGCAGGAAATGCAGGGCAAGCTAGGCGAGGCAGTCGCGTTGTACGGGCGCATCCTTGACGGACAGCAAGCTTACGCGCAACGCGCACGTTACGCGTACCCCGACCAACTCGCGTACCAGCGACAGCAGCATGGCTACTATGTTCCGCCAACCCAGCAGTCGTACACAAACGGGTATATGCAGCACGCACCGCCAGTGCAGGCGCCACCTCAGCAGGTACCAGCCCAGCAAGCCCAATACGCTCCATCGATGTATCCAACGATGCCGCAAGCCGCCGCCCCCTATGCGTACCAGCCACAGCAGTATGCGCAGGCGCCATCGCGCCAAACCTCGTATGCTCAGTACAACACCCCTGATCCTCAGCTTCCTACCGCCGCGCCTTCCGCCCCACTCCCCACTGCCCCGAACCTCATGCCGTCCGCCCCTGCCGCCGCGTCTCCATACGCTGCCGCCTCAGCCCCACCACCCATCGATATGACCTCGCACCCCTCCATGTCCCCCCGGTCCACTACCTCCGCCGTGCCCCTACCCTCCTCGCCTTCACGCCAGGCGAGCTATGCCGCGACACCTTCCGCGCCGTCTGCGCCGGCCCGCACCGCGTCTTACTCGTCTACGAAGAGCCCTGTCGAGGCGCCGGCGGCTGCGCTTGCGAACCCTTGGGAGAGTGCACCCTCCGCTCCCCCTCAGCAAGTTCCACAGCAGCAGGCCGCACCCCAGCAGGCTCCGCAGCAGCAGCAGGCTCAACAGCCGCAGCTGGTCGCACAGGGATGGTACACATCGTCAATGTTCCCTTCGGCTCCTGGCGTTGCCCCTTTCCCGTCGGCCCCGCAGGAGGCACCGGCCGCCAAGCAGCAGCAGCCGGTCGAGGAGGCGTTGCTGATTGAGCTGTAATTTGAGGGTTTGGTCATGCGCGCATGTGTAGGGTTGTAGATTAGCGGACATGCGAAGATGGAGACAGGAAGCCAAAACAGAGCGCAGTGGAGCAAGCGCACAGTATAGTCCACATCTATGGTCGAGTCATGACCACTCTCTACTCTTCAGATCAGCAACATCGATCCGCTGTCATGACTGCCTGCCCAGCTAGCTGCCTAGCTGCGAAGGTGTGGTCTGCTGCATTCTGCGAAATACTTCAAACCACGATTACTCGAGGTCAGGCGGGCTCAATCTCGCTCAGCGTTCCTATAATGATGCAACAGTTGTGAACACAATGCTCGCGCTGAGGCCACCCCCGCCAAGATCATACACTATGCTTACATGATACAACTACTCGTCGTCGACCACCGTGATCGAGACTTCAGCACGCCGCTCCGCCGAATCGCCAGCTGCTGCCGCTGCCTGTGCTGCCTGCACTTCTGCGACAGTGTTCACCTCCCCGTGCTCCTCGCGCTCCTCGCGCTGCTCCTGCGTCTCGCCGCCGTTGGCAAACTTGCTCCTCTTGCCATCTGGCTCGTGCCCCTTACTCGCAGGCTCTCCGCCACGATGTTTACGCTTCTGGCGTCTAGCGCGGTTCTTGGCCGTCTTTTCCGCGGCAATGCGGTCGCGTTCCGCCTGCCGCGCCATGAACGCCGCTTGTTCCTCGAGCTGGCATAAGCCTCTCTTCCTCTTTCCACATCACTGCTACTCACATCTCGCGTCTGGCGCTCCATCGCCTTGACGCGCTCGTACTCGCGCCGACGGCTGTGCTTGTAGATGTGGAATTCGCCAGAACCCGCCGCCGCTGACGAACCCGATATATTCTTCAGCGTGTCTTTGGGTGTGCGCCCCATCTTGAGTCCCATGCCCTCGGGCAGCACCACTTCCTTGTCGGGGTTGGCTAGGAGCTTCTCGAGCTGCGGTCAGCAAAGGGGCGGAGGGCGAGGCAAGGGGGACGAACTCGGCGCTTCTGAATGTCATGTTCGGTAAAGCGGCGGCCGCGGACCTTGGGGCCGTCTCCGGATGCGCCGCCACGGGAGCCGAAGTCGGGGGATGGAGAGCGCTCAAAGGGCTCTGGAGAGGGGGAGGCGGGCTCAACTGGCATGATGATGAGTGAAGGTAGGTGTCAACATTCAAAACAGCGACCGAGAAGCGAGGAGAGTAGTCTGGAGGTCAAGACGTGATGGGCGGAGATCGATCACAGTCCGCAGAGTCCGCGTTTTGATCTGTGAGAGTAAGGAATGTTGTGTCTGTCCACTGCGAAACCCGTTCGTCATCACTAACTACTCGATCTCGGTGCTCGTCACCACCCATCGCCGTCCGCATCCACCTCGTCATCTGAGCAGCTACCTTGATTTTCTCCTGATAACTCCAGCGCAACTCCGCACTCCAAATCTCGATCAAAATCTTCCCAGACGCATCTTACCCCCAGATCGTGTTCCCAGATCGGCAGTTCATCGTCCCCGGTGTACCGGTTTGTGCCCCTTTCCCAGGACGAGTTAACCGGCTCGGCTCATCTTTATAAAACCTGCAGCACCGGCTGAGACGCTTGCTCAGACTCGAGACGCAGACGCGCAGACACACGCTATTCTCTTTCTCACGTTACCACCCTACCTCCCACAGCAAGAAGCCATCTTGGTGCGTCAGCCAGATAAGCCATGTCCTATGACCCCACTGGCCGGTACCAGGGAAGCAACTACGATCCAGATTACAAAGCGAAGCAGAAGTGGCGGTTGAAGCCGCGCAACAGTGGGCAGCATGGACAGGAGCCCTCGTATACCTCGTACTCTCAGTCACACATTGGATCGGAGCCGAGCTCTCCATCGATCGGGGCGAGCATCCGATTCCATCGCGGTGATGCGAGCGTTGATCGTTTTGGTCCCGATGATGGCGACCGTTACACTACTTCAACTCGGGGTCCCGGCAATGCCTCCCTCCACCCTCCTCGTTCCACTCAAACACTAGGTTATCAAGACAACAGTCGCGCCGCAACCTCTTCATTCCAGCAAGAGCGCTCAGCTTATTCCCAGCAACCTCCTCTCTACTCCACCCGCGCAGGAGGTGTAACGGAAAGAAATACAGGCATCAAGATGGAGCCAGTCGATACTCACGCCTCTCCTTCCTTGAGACAGGGCGCTGACGACAAAATCATCGACGACAAGCCTCCAGCTGCTCTCTCCAACTCGACCACCTTACCGCCTACTACGGCCTCACCTGCTGCCATTCAGTCGATCTCGTCTGGCCCCGCCCCCTCGTCATCGGAGGAGCCTCTCAGCTCGTTGGAGAGACTCAGACGGTTCAAGGCGCAAGTGAAGGCATCTCGACGCAGCATGCCCTCCCAACCAGAGCAGCAGCAACCCTCCTCTGAGCAACTTGACAGAGTGCGCGTCGCAGAGTCGTTTCTCAATCGGCCGGTATCCGTTCCCCCTTCCAGCAAGGCAGCAGTTGGATCGACTCCGCCGATCGCTGCCCAGCACGTGCCAGACTCCTTGGTCTCCGCTCCATCTCCTTTCAACATGCCGTCCCTGCCTCCGCCATCCAACAGTGCCCCTCCCGTACCCAACGAACAGTCTCTTCAGGCCAGCCAACCGCAGGACGGAGAGGACAAAGATATTGCTGATTCACGCGAAGCTCGTGAGCAGCTCCTTAGGGAGAAGCTGCGCATCAAGATGGCCCAGCGTTCAGCTGGGCAGGACGCCAATGGATCTCACCCTTCTTCAGCTGCACCTTCGGCCCGAGAGCAGCCTCCCGACCTTGCAGACGTCACTATCTCTTCCAGTACAACTCACCCCTCTCAGGAGGGCGCTGAAATCTCCGGGCCGGCGCGCCTTGACACCTTCTCATCAAACTCCAACGGTCACGGTGGCCACCCTCCCGACGCTGGCTATGCTGAGTCTCGCCCTGCGCATGATGTGTCTCGCCCGGCGTCACATGTCGCACGTCCTGCGCTCAATGAGCCTCCCTTTGACCCCAGCAAGAGCTACGCCGAGGCAGCACGCCAACGCTTCGCAAGTTACGAGCGAAATCGTTACATGCCACCGCGCCGCCGTACCCCTTCGCCTCCCCCGCGTCGTGACCCTTCTCCGCGCCGGGCTGTACACCTCTCGTCCTCGCGGGATCGTGGGCCAGTGAGCCCATCTGTGCGCTATGAGCGGGGCGATCCTCCCCCCGAGATCGCGGAACGCGGGCGCGCCGACCGCCGTGTTTCGCACTCGCCTGTCGTGGAGCGTCGCCTTTATGAGCGTTCTCAGTACGCGGAGTCGGGACCTGTTTCGCCACCGCACGTTTAGAAGTTTGACTGTTATGCTGACTTTGCCAGCTATCCTCGCGAGCATGTTCGCGAGCGCGAGTTTGAACGTCCCGCGCAGGCAGTGCCACCTTCGACGATGCCTGCGCCCCCTGCGACTGTCGTGGCGCGTGACGACTTGCCTCCAGCTGACACGAACCCCATGGAGACCTGGGCTATCGGTCAGATCCAGTTACTGAAACAGCAGCAGCAAGGCCTGGCCACCGCAATTGCTGAGTTGGAGAAGACCATCTCGTCCGGGGTCCTCCAAACTGCAACATCCGCAATCCGAGCATCACTTTCAACCTCCACATCGTCAGTTTCTCACCCAGTTCGTGTCGAGGAAACCCGTCAGAATTATCATCATGAGCCGCACACGGAACAGCGCTTGGAGCCTCGCGTCTTACGTCTGGACCATCGTCTGGACACATACCCAGAGTCGAGGGCCCCTCCCATGCGCGAGCAATCGCCCGCTCAAGCACCGTCCCGTACTTACAGTGATTCTCGCGAGCCCGTTCGTCAAGGGCCGCCACCTCGTAGCCAGTCTTACATTGGCGCCAATGAGAACAGGAGCAGCGCTCCCCATCCTTTCACAACTGGAGAATATGGAGCGCCGCGTTACACCCTACCAGAGTCGCACGGCAAGGCACCTTCTTACAAGTCGCATGGCCCGTACAACAAGCAGAAGCCTTATGACCGCCGCCCGTATGTTCGCTCGCCTAGCAGTCGTGGTCCGTCTCCGAGTCGTGTGCACTATGAGGCCAGGAGCCGCAGCTCGTGGGACGGGCGCGGGCCTTCGTCCACCAAGCTCGACTATCGCTACTAAAGTTGTGTTCTATGAGGATGAGTTTCCGCATCACCATGATACTGTGCATGTATCCTGTTTAGCTACGGAAGCTGAAGAGTCGTCAGTGAATGCGCTGGGTGCTCAGGAGCGTAAGTGGTGCCCGCCCGGCCTTCCAATGCGAACGCGCGAGCTAGGCCGTTATGTTCTGCATCCGTTCTACGAGGACTCATGCACAAGTCCGAGGTTGGCAATGACTCCTGACGCCGCCTTTTCGGCGGCCTTGCGGGCGTCAGCGCCGTGCGCAGCCTGCGACTGGGCGAAGTGCGCCTTGATCTCCTTTGCGCGGTTGACCTGGAGTTAGCAAGTGTCGAGACAGGTTGGGCGCTGGAGTCGTTGAGTTAGGTCCGAAGGAAAAGATGGCGTAGCGAACACGACAACGCCAATTACCGTTGGTGCAAAGGATATTGTGGTGGCCCTTCTCCGCCCACCAGATACAGCCAGGTTTAGTTGGACCGGGTCACGATGTGTCTGGTCGAACATTCCAAGGTGGAGGGGCCAGCACTCCTACGTTTGGGATGTGACCCTTCTTCTCCAACACACTTCCAACGCGCTCCAATTCGTGTAGTGCTGCCCGATGGACATCGCCGTGTCGCGCTGCTCCTCGCTTTGCGCAGCGCGATGCTACCGCGCAGGTCGTTGGAGACGCCATCTGCGTCTTTCGCTTCGGCACGCCCAGCCCGCTCGCTGCCAGCACTCACCTCCTTCGTGCGGTGCAGGCATTCCAGGTAGTCCTCCTTCTGCGCGATGCACTGCTTGGTCTCGTCGGCGCCAGCGTAGCACTGTCGTCAGTCCTTCGGCATTCCATCTCGGCCTGTCACGATCCCAATTCGATATGGCCGAGAATGCGGCCTGAAACGCACCTCCATGAACGAGATGAACACCTCGTGGCACCGTGAGCGACCTCCGTTGTAACCGAAACCCGACTGCTATCAGCACTTCCCGCCGCTGCGCTCACCATCTTGTTGTAGTTGGACTTGTGTGGACGAATGCCCCTCAGCCCGTTGGTCCGTCGTCCGTCTCCTCCATCCTCGGGATAATCACATATGCTCCCGTCCTTTGGTGCTACACGTAATTGGCCACGTGGTGCCCACTCCCGACAACCCTCGGTCTCACATCGGCCGTCGTCATGCACCACCTGCAGTGGCAACTCTCCATCGCTCCGTTCATCTCTTCCAACTCTCGCGGCCACCATGCTGGCCCCAATAGCCTTTCTGGCGCTTGCCCTTGGCGCAGTGGCTCTCCCCCATCAGGAGCCCTTCGCCGGTTATGACCCATCGACCGCGGCCCCCGCTTACATCGAGGAATCCGACGGTGTCGACAGGTATGACGGGCACCAGGTCTGGCGCATCAATTGGTCCAACCTCACCGACACGTCGCGCGGCGCGCTTTACAATGTGCTCGAGGTGAGAATCCCTCCCCTTCTCCGATGTTCCTGCTGGGCGTGGGAAGCGAACGCGACGCCGCCCAGGCTCGACCTTCCTCGGCCTTGCCCGTCTCACCGTGTCCGCACGATCGCACACTCGCTGATACCAGACCACCGGCGATGTGTGGAAAGCAACTCCCGACATGATCGACATTCACCTCTCCCCGCGCGCAGCTGCTGTACTCCCCTCTCTCCTTCCGAAGGACACACATGCGCGCAAGATTGTGCCAGACCTGCAGGCGCTCGTCAATCTGTCTCTGGCACACCCACTTCCGGATCTCCATGGCGCATACGCGCCCCACTCTCCCCTCGACGACCCTCCCACTGATCTTCCGGAGGGCGGATGGAACGTTTCTACTCTCGGCACGCTCTTCCACGATGCGTTCCAGCCGCTCGCTGCCGTAGACCGGTTCCTGGACACCCTCGTCAAAGCGTTCCCGGAGACGCTTCACACCTTCGAGATTGGCAAGTCGGCCGAGGGCCGTCCGCTGCGCGCATACACCGCTCATCGTGCCGATGGGAAGACGGACGCTCCGGAGGTGGTGATTATTAGCGGTCAACATGCGCGCGAGGTGAGTCTTGGTTCGGCGGCGAGCGGCGCAGGAAGGCGATTGCTGGGGAGCATAGTGTTGCCAGGCAAACTGACGCGCAGTGGGTTGGGCCCGCGTCAGCCATCTACTTCCTCCACGCATTGCTCGTCAGCTTCAGAGATGACCCTGAGGGTGCCGCGGCAAAGGTGCTCCGCGAGTTCACCATCACCGTCGTGCCGACGCTCAACCCCGATGGTCTTGTGTACTCGCGCGAGCATAGCCGGATGTGGCGCAAGAATCGGCAGGACGTCGGAGGCCTTCTGTGCAAGGGTGAGTTGCGGGTAGTCACCTATGGCTGATCGCAGGTGTCGACCTGAACACGAACTGGGGTTATGAGTTCAGACCCTCTCGCCTCGCATGCTCCGAGTCGTACTCTGGCCAGCGCGCGTTCGAAGCGCCCGAGACTGCTGCTATGGCCAACTACATCGTCAATGGCACTGCGGAAGCGCCGCGCAAGAAGATGCCCCGTGCATTCATCGACCTCCACAGTTATGGACAGTTGTGTAAGTTGTGATGTGGAACGTGATGCGGCGCGAAGACGCTCGTTCTTGATGCTGGCGATCTTCGCATCGATCGCCGAGACCCTTACATTGTCAAGTGGTGATTGCGCGCGCATGTCATGTTCAATCTATCACAATGTCAGCGCTGACGCCAGTCATGTTCCCATACTCGTTCTCGTGCAACGTCTTCCCTCCCGATGCTGAGAACCTCATGGAGGCCGGCATCGGCGTCGCTAAGGCTATCCGCATGATCGGCGGGCCGGGCTACCAGACTGGCCAGGCTTGCCAGTCAACTCTGCGCTTCGCCGGTGATGCCGCCGACTACACGTACGCGGTGGGCCAGGTGCGCTGGTCCTACTCCGCTGAGTTGCGCGACACGGGCACTTACGGCTTCATGCTTCCGCCGTTCTTGATTCGACCGACGGGCATCGATGTCGTCGCAGGTCTTTCTGCTCTCGCGCTGTTCATATACAACACCGAGATCGAGCCTTAGCTGGGTGTGAATCTGTCGCTCAGCGACACTGTAATAGGCTCCCAAGCCCACATAGAGAGGAAGTATACATGGCGTGTTGTTGATTATTGGCCATGCAGTATCTGTACGCGTACGTGCTGGGCTTAGGCCATACCAGTAAGTGGCGGCTATGCGACAAAGCAATGATGGCGGTGAACTTTGCTATTCAGTACAATTCCACGCTTGCACTGGCTACACCCCGCGCTGCATATTGCTGGAGGGCGAGGCTAGGATACGGAAGAGCATCGTTTGCACGATTCGACGAAGCGACGAGCTGTTCCTGCAGACGCAAACATCACTTGGGCTGATACCGCTGAGGTGAAGCGGGCACGACCGACATTCGCTCGCACCACCTGTCTCTACCCTGTCGCTCAGAAAAAGCGTTCCCAGCTCCTTTCGAAGCTACTTTGTACACTAGAAGGGAGTCGAACCCCTGCCTCATGCATGGCAAGCATGAATGATACCGTTTCACCACTAGTGTGATACTTGTTGTTGGACTGAGTGGAGGATGGTAGTATTCGCTATCGCTTCGATCGCATGCGTTGGTGGCATACTCCACAGTTTCTTGGGTACTGATAATTGCAATCGACACAACTGGGATTACTATGCATATGGCTATGTCTTCCACTCAGGCTTGCGCTTACCAAAGAACGCGGCTATGCCCTCCTTGGCATCTTCCGCGCGCGCGTGAAGTGCCATGACGCGCCCGGCCCACGCCGCTGCCTCTTCGTACCCGTCGCCACCGCTCCCCCGGATCCCCAGCTGGGTCCAATAGGCCCACTTGCCGAGGGCGAGGGGCTGGCCAGCCGTCTCGTCTGCGAGACGCGCGATGACGTCCGCGGCACGCTTCTCAAACGCCTTTCCGTTGACATCTGTGCTCTCTTCCCACTGAGAGACGGGGACGATGTCGATGGCGCCACTGCCAACTTCGCCGGCTGTGATCGTGTCCGCCGTCGCGAGCATGCGGTACGCCAACCCGGCGCCGAGGCGGCGCGAGATGGCCGTGGAAGGTGACGTGCATGGCAGGCCGATGGTCGCTCCGGGTAGCCTGAACGGCGTGCTGGCCAGTGTAATGGGGTAGTCGGACGACATGGCGAGCTGGAACCCCGCGGCTGTCGCCAAGCCTTGAATTGGGCAAACTACTGGGGCTGGAGAGTGCCGGATGAGCCGCATGACATCGGCGCACAGCGCAAACGTCTCCTTTACCTCGTCGTGCGAAAGGCCCGCGAGCTCCTTCAGGTCGTGGCCAGAGGAGAAGACAGGCCCTTCGGAGCGGAGCACAAGGACGTTTGGGAGGTGGGCACGTTCTTTGCGCCATGCCCCGCCGTCAAGCAGCCATGCGTACTCTTCGTCCCCGGCTTCCATCTTATCCAAAATCGCGGGGTCGAAGGCAGGCAGCGTGAGCAGCCGTCCACTGCTGCCCGTGAGATAGCCCTCGAGTTGCGACTTGAGGTCGCGCAAGACGCCGAGCGCAAGCGCATTCCGCTTCGCTGGATTGTTGATGAGCACGTAAGCCGCCTTCTTTGGCAGCGAGGGGAGCGACACTGCATCAGCCGGCGCGGAGGTTGGGCTTACTTTTGAGGTTGGAGTAGAATGGCAAGGTTCGGTGGTAGCCCACCGTCGGCTAAGTGTCCAGTCGCTGGGTATCCGGAACGCGCGGCTGGGCGGCAGGGGCCGGGTTGGCCGAAGTCGGCGTCCTCCGGCACGACCACGGAATGACTGCGATACTGCGGGGATGAATTGCGGGGATGCGGAGTCATGACGCTCCCTGTTCGTGCTTGCTGACACCAGCATGCCAACAATAACTCTAGTTATCTCTCTAGGTCTCTCTTCATCTTCACAAACTATCTCATCGATATCTTCTCCCCCTTCCTAACAACTCCAAGATGCCCGCCGTCCCTCTCGGATCCCTTGTTCTCGTCACGGGCGCCTCCGGCTTCATTGCTGTGTGAGTGGTTCCGCATCATTTCGGCCTTGTGATGCAGTTGGGACGGACACTGACTGGCACACTAACGTATTTGCTGACCCCAGCCACACCATCAAGACCTTCCTTGAGAATGGCTACCCCGTCCGTGGTACGGTCCGTTCCCAGGCCAAGGGCGAGTACCTCGCCGACCTGTTCAGGGGAAGCAAGGCGCCGTTCGAGTTCGTGATTGTCGAGGACATCGCGAAGGTATGCTTCAGTGATGCCACGCTAACGGAAGCCGGGCGCGTTCGACGAGGCCGTCAAGGATGTGGTTGGCGTTGCACACACTGCTAGGTGAGAGCTGACCTTCCCTCCACCGATAGCTAACAGCAGCCCTTTCCATTTCAAGGTCAGCGACCCACAGGAGCTTATCGAGCCTGCGGTCAAGGGCACACTTGGCGTTCTTGAGAGTATTCAGAAGAACAAGTGAGCTTGGCACCATGTTTTGGCTGACGGTAGCCCCGACGTTAAGCGCGTCGTGATCACCAGGTAGGATGCGAATTTCGAGGAAGCTGAACCTAGCTCATGCGCCTCCATCATGGACGATGCTGCTCCCAAACCCCACGTGTACGTTTACTTACGTGCTCACAGTCTGGCTGCCTGCTGACAAACAGCCGCACGGAGGAGGGTAGGCAAGCCTTTGGTCTGTTAACTTACCGCAAGACTGGAACCAGACCTCGGTCAAGAATGTCGAGGAGAAAGGCCGCGATGCAGCTCCCGGTGACATGTACCGCGGTGAGCTCGGGCCCTTGTTCGTTTCTCAAATTCGCTAACAGCAGCGAGCAAGACGCTGGCCGAGCGCGCCTTCTGGAAGTTTATTGACGAAAAGAAGACAGCCTGGGACGGCGCCACTATCTGCCCGCCCATGGTGTGTGCTCTCCCCGCCCCGCTGACGCTAGGTGTACGGCCCGATTCTTCAGCAGATCTCGAGCACGTCAGAGTTGAACACGTCAAACGGTGCGTCACACACTCCAACCGAACTGACAGCAGCGTCGATCCTCGACTGGCTCACGGGTAACAAGAAGCAGAGCGACATTCCCGATGTCGCCAGTTTCAACTGGGTCGACGTGCGCGATGGTTCGTAACTCCGCAGTCAGGTCTGACCGTAGTCGCCCTGGCGCACGTCCGTGCGCTCACCGTCGAGGAGGCTGGTGGGGAGCGCTTCATCGTTGGCGCTGGTCCCGGGTCCCCCAATGACCTCGTCCTGGTGAGCCCGACGGCTTTAGCTCACCGCTGACATACAGAGCTTCGAGCGCCACTTCCCGGACCGCAAGACGTACCCCAAGGGCGATGCGTCCAAGGTTGAGGCAATCAACTCTAAGAGTAATCGGTACGATGGCTCCAAGGCAGAGCGTATTCTGGGCATCAAGTACCACGACATCGACACGTCCGTCAAGGACACGGTGGACAGCCTTGTCAAGCGGCTGGGCGTTTAGCTGGGTGGATGGATTAGAGGCCAGTCCATGTAGTGAGAATGAAATAGGTGTTGCGCATGTGTTATCGCGCTATCGCCATATCGATGGAGACGTGAGGATGGGAAGGCTTGGCATCGGTGACGGAGGCACGGAGCAAAGGGCAGTGTCAAAGGATTCAGTAGGGGGACGGGGTCAATCCCAGGCCTGCGGCAGGGTCGAGGCGACGAGAGCACCTCACCTTGGATTTGCCTGGGTACGTTCCACACGTCACAATCCGATCTCTCTCACTTCTCACCTCTTGCTTTACTCTTCGTCTTCGTGCTCTTTACGTTTCTACGCCCTCGTTGCAGCGCCGCCGACGTCTTTCCCTCTGATCTCATACCTCGCGCCGCCCCCCCCCCCCCCCCCCCCCCCCCCCCCCCCCCCCCCCCACATATGGCTTAATCGCCCCCCCCAGTCCCCCCCCCCCCCCCCCCCCCCCCCCCCCGCGCGAAACTGCCACCTCTCACCTCCCCACTCGCC